AGGGTAAACAACGTAAGGGTTTTTAGAAACTTTGAATGTCATATTAACTTCCTATTCCACGCTCTATTGGGTTGACTGGAAGAGATCTCTTTTAGAGATAAGTCCTCCTTTGTTAACATTAGTTGTAATTAATATACTTACAAATGTAATTAAGTGCAATAAATAATATTTATTAATTTACATTTAATAAATACACATCATAAAATATAAGTTGCATACTTCTAACTTTATCAATGACGATAATTCCATACGACGTTTGCCAACCCCTTATAACACTTTTTGTATTAAAAAGTACTATATGCCCTTTCTCAGGGTGTAGACTATCTATGTGCTAAATTTCATTGAAATCAGTTCAGTAGTCTTGGCGTGAAAGTTTTATTGTCTTGAACGTGGGAAGTTAATTAAGGTCCGTAGCATTATTGACCGTCCGTTCAGCGCTGTGTGAACGACGGGTGTGGACTGCAAGGATGCCAACCTTACAAGGATACTAGTATATGTAGCTCACTAGCTGTGCCCGCGACTTCGTCCGCGTGGAATAGTGACCTGGACCAAACGAAGAAAAAATATCTAATAATCTGACCCAAAAATCATATTTTTATTATAAAGGTTAATTATTAAAATCCATAAAAAAAATTAATCGTTCTACCTTCAAAAATGACGAATTATTATATAATACACACTTCCATCCGCTATTTTATTTTATCCCCTTGAGTAGTGGTAAAATTTTTACAAACTTTGAATGTCATATATATCTATCTATATTTAAGCAAAGGCCTAAAAAAGAAATTTCATATTTCTAGCTTTAAAAATGATCGTCATAAAGGCTATTTTAATTCTATACAATGTTTCATCTTCAGTTTCAAACCTTTACAACTCTGTTTTCGCATTAAAAACTGGCTTATCCCTGTCCTCAGAATCTAAACTATCTGTGTACTAAATTTCATGTAGTTTTGGCGTGAAAGGGCGGCATCAGACAGACAGAGTCACTTTCGCATCTATAATATTAGCACAGATAACATAATATTAGTAAGAAGGTAAGGATTATAAACCTATGTTATGAGGATATTTTCACCCTTTGCTGTGGCTACACAACTCTAAAACACGTCCTTCACCATCTCTAAGAATCTTGGTATTCTCGGTGTCGACATCTCTCACACAGTTGAGTTCTACTTCTTTCTCGAGGAATAGTTTGAGCTGGCATCCAATAAGCTCGGAATGCTCAATAGGGCGAACCGGTACTTCACAGCGGATGGATATAAAAAACCCTTATACTAGATTGTATTTTAATTGAGATGAGTTTTATTTTGTATGAGATTTTAACCCATAAAAATCGGTACTCTTTTTTACTACGATGTTGGCAAACAAGGGTACGACCTATCTGATGGTAAACGGTTACGGTAGCCTTTGGACGCTTGAAACATCAGAGGTGTTACACTCGTTGCCGACCCTTAAGAAAGTATACTGGGATTACCAGGTGGAAAGTCAATTTGAGCTATTGTATAAGTTTTTATATGAATTTTGATTTATCTGTACGAGGCTAAGTTTTTATGGTTGTTCTACTTCTTTCTCGAGGAAAAGTTTGAGCTGGCGTCCAATAAGCTCGGAATGCTCAATAGGGCGAACCGGTACATCACAGCGGATGAATATAAAAAAACCCTCATATTAGATTGTATTTTATTTGAGATGAGTTTAATTTTGTATGAGAATTTTGACCCATAAAAATCGGTACTCTTTTTTACTACGATGTTGGCAAACAAGGGTAAGTAGCCTATGTCCTTCCTCTGTGTCTATTGTGAGTTTTTATGAATTTTTATCTGTACGAGGTTTGTAGTATATTAGCTTCCAGGCGATAGTGTAATAGTATGTATAGTACGACCTCGATGATGCAGAGGTTTTGCAAACCTTTCCGTCGGTCGCAGGTTCGATCTTCATACTATACAAATATTTGTATTGAAAAAAACCGAGGATTAAAAACCGAGTACCTTGTGTATTTTGGTTCTTACATGTTGCTACTCTAACTTATACTAGTCATTATGACTATACATAAACGTGAATTACGTGACGTTAAATAAAGTGACTTATATTACATAAGTAAGTTTATGTAACGTCTCAGTGATTTAGTTATATATTTTACTAGCTGATCCGCCGTACTGCTTCTGTACACACTTATCACTATATATCGCCCAATTTACATAATATTTTTATTTTAATTATACCATATATGTTACTTCGATATATAAGCTATATTACTGTGAAGTTTCATCAAAATCTGTTCAGTAGTTTTTGCGTAAAAGAGTAACAAACATCCATCCATACTCACAAACTTTCACGTTTATAATATTAGTATAAGAATTAGTTATACATTTTATTTATGTATGTGTATTATATTTTGCTAGTTGATCCCGCAAACGTTGTTTCGCCATATAAATTTAAATCGCTAAAAAATAGGGGTTTATGCTAGAAGGGTAAAAATTTAGGTCTGTACTTTCAAATGCCACATTAATAAAAAATCGTCTAAAAAAATTAAAAAAAATAATAGGGATGGACAACCCTTATCGCTTAGGGGTATGAAAAATAAATAATAACCGATTTTCAGACCTACTGTATATGCATATAAAAAATTTAATAAAAATCGGTCAAGCCGTTTCGGAGGAGTATGGCAAACTAACATTGTGACACGGAATTTTATACATATACGACTATATGAACCTTACCTTTAATATTTCTATGTGTATGTATTATGTATGTATGTATTATCTATTTCTATTCTAGTGTGTCACCTACCTTTCCAAATTCAAAGTTTCGATCTCCCGGGTTGTCTGCAAGAGATAGGTTGCTTTAAGCGATAAGACCGCCTTTTGTTAATATAAAGTTCCTATTTTTTTTTATAATTCTGTGCACAATAAAGAGATATTATTATTATTTATTTATTTTATATTCTCGAATGCTTCGGTATTATAAATTACAATTACGGGTTAAACTGATCAAGTCATTTTAAATATCTTTAGTTAACTGTTTCCTGAATGTTTCTATTATTATTTTTTTTGTCTCGACTTTCGCCGGTAAACTTGGTATGTACGGGCCTAAGCCAAGTACACAACAATGTTCTATTTTTAGTTGAATATACTGTATATGTAATATTATTTTATCTGTTTTAGAAAATTTCTACAAACAGATCAGACTAACATTTATGTTATAATAAATGTTGGCCTAATCTGCCTGTAGAAATTTTCTAACAATGCGGCATGTGTTTAGAACTACATCCTTCTGTAGTTGGCGGTATATATTAGGGGGCAAGTTCAGGGTATTTATTTATTATTATGCTTCATTTTTACAGCTTTTGCTGTATTTTTTGACGCTTCGCAGTACGCGTGTGTGTGTGTGTATGTGTACTTATTGTGAACATTTTAATTTACGTGACTGATGTTATGTCATTTTCATTTAATTCTAGGAAAATTCTGACAGGTCTTCAGGTATTCAAAACAGCCTTTTGAAGGGTGGTGTAGTGTTTTTTTTAAATTGAATTGTTTCAGACCATGATGATATTACTATTATTATTGTACGTGTTTTACTACTATATCACAAACGTTGAATATACAACCCCATTCTCCTTCCGGCTGCAACCGACCGAGAAAATTCGAAAAGCAACCGGTCTTTAACATTACAGCACAGGCACAACGAGTGTTTAATTAATATATGTATACAACCTCTTTTGTCATTGTTATGTGCCAGTACGAGTATTAAGAAAAAAAAGAAAACAAAAGTAATTTTATTTGATCTGTCAAATTAATTAATGTGTGATTTTGAACAATACATCTAGATAAAACAAGATCAAGATTTTTCATTTAAGACAATTTATTTTTAAACAAGGAGTGAGGTTAATGAGAATGTAATTAATTCCCTAGTAAGATTTTCTGTAGACTATAGGATAGGTTTTTTCATGGAAGGTACATTAAAGAACAGGATCAGCAAAGAACACACGACACAGCTGCTATTTCTAACGTTTTTAGACTACAGTAACAGTCTACCAGCAGATGTTTTTTTGCCACCATATATACATTAAACATTATATATACATTACACCATATGTTACATTATAGTGTAAAAGATAATTCTAGAACGTTCTTTACCAAATCGAAACGGGTTGGTGTAAGGCGCTGCCGTGGCAGATTGCTGTGACCATAGAGACAATTAATATTTATAATATTATTACATATGTACATATTATTTATGTAGTCTATTCATTAATTCATACAGTAAGAGCTCTCGTCTGTGCAGCTTTGCCTTTGCCACTTTCCGCGATCTTCCATCATGCTCTTTAAAGTATATAATTTACAAGGTATTCACAATATGGGTCATTAGTATCCTGAAATAATGAAAATAAAACAAAAATACGAAAATTTTTATATAATAATTTATTTTATTCATCGTCTTTTTCATATTTTAAATGTAACTTTTTACAATATACTTACATTCTATTTATTTAATTATAACTGATTACAATCCGATACTATGAACACTAGGACTCCAATAGACATTAATTTAATTCATTTACAAAACATTTTTTACATATAATAAACAAAGAAAAAATATAAAAAAAATAATATCAGGCATATTGAGAATACATAGTAAACTTCTTGATAGGTATATATTTGGTTGCTGACAATTGACATTAGAATAAAACGGATTCTAATTTATTTTTTATTTTTATAGCTTGACATTTCTTTGCCTTATTTTCTGATTAATGTTTCATTTCTTTCATTCGACAGTGACAGTTCCAATTAAACAATAAATTATAAATAAATTGTGCATCTGTCAATTTCAAATAACAATTGCAACATTACATAATTGAATCACTACTCATTTGTTTTATCCATTACTATTGATAAATATTTTGTCTTATATTATGCATTTCATTCAAAATATTTTAACACAATTTAATCATCATTCATTGAAATAATAATGTCACAGACATATATTAAAAAAAACCATGTATGACTTCTTTACAATCAATTAAATTACCCGCCATATTGCCTCTCGTAGTGCAAAATTTAAAAAACGCATATCAGTTTATTGCACTAATGTAAATAAAATAATTACATTTAAACTTTGGTCTTATCTATATTAAAAATAAATTAAACCTATATTTACAAACAGCGATCATTATATTTCTGGAATTCAGTTGATGGATTTAAAAATAAATATAAACAGCCATCTTGCCGATGTTTTTTATAAACAAAATCGTTCAGAAATTTAAATATCGAAAATAGTTTCTGGTATTCCGAGCTCTAACCTCTTTTCAGATATGACAATTTTTCAGTATAGTTCCCAGCAAATAACAATAAAATATATAAAGCTTGCGCAGTAGACGCTTCTGTTCAAAACAATCACTGTGCAAATTGTCTGGTATCAAATTCGCAAAACGTGTTCAACCTATTTGCCGGATATCTATACTTTTTGACAAGAATTTAAATTTAAGTTTGGAATAACGGAGTCTTCTAAACAGTCGTTATTATTATGACCAGCATTCAATAAATTACTAAACAATAACATCTAATTTTAAACCATATTTACATACATACAAGATCTAAATTAAAAACTTATTTATCAACATTTATATTGAAATTAGGATATGTGGGCCTTAGAGATGATGCTTCGGCGTTGACGGGGGACGGAGGGGTTGGTGGAATGTATGGGTATCGGGGATAAGGGGGGTAGGGGTATGGGTAACCCGCGGGTAATAACTGAGGGTTGTGGAAGGGGGGGAGAAGAGCTGGCGATGGGTATCCATATGGTAGACCTACTGATGATGCAGCCGCTTGAAGAATGGATGCTGCGAATGCTGGGTCGCTGTAGACGGCTGCGTAAGGCCAAGCGACTGCTATACGTTGACGTTTATCTTTCATCCTACGGTTTTGGAACCACACCTGCAGACAAAGGAAAAAAAATATAAAGTTTTAACTTCACAAAAATGTATAGAAATTACATTACATTTTAGAAAAAAAGAGTTTGTTAACGCGACTCTATCTTTTTTAGCGCCAATTCAATTTTTATTAATAATACTTCCTTAATCTAAAGCATTTATAACCGTGTTAATTAGACAGTGTCATAGTCATTATTCTCATAAAGAGTATTCTGTCATACAGGTTAATACGAACATATCCGCAAACGTTCAATAGTTATAGAGAGCGGATTCCAACACAGCTGCCTTCGCACTCCATTGCTAATTAATTGCATATTTTCTAATATAACTGTGGCCTATCGTAAAATGTTGAGTAGATACACAGCGAGAAGTGTTTAAAGCCATCGAAAATCGTTAAACGCATAATGGAACGGTCCGCAGAACGAAACGCAACAAAGTGTGTAAACAGACTCTCAAAAGCCGCCATTGTTTGTTCGAACGACGTGTTAATTGGCGGGAATTTTGCAAACTCGGATGAGCAACTTCCTTTCGGACCATAGACATTATTAATATTTTTGTTTTTAAACAAGCAAAGACTTCTTTGCATACAGGTAAAGTAAGTTGTAAGGTATTGAAATTCTTTAAATGTCAAAGATGTTTTTGGATTTGAAAAAATAAGTTTTGTAATATTTTCGTCGAAGGTTTTATATGATAATCTAATCGAGCGATAATTAATATTCAAATAGACTGCGAAACATCAACTGTGTTTGCCATACGGAATTAGAAAATTTTATTGATATGTTATCTGGTGTTTATTGATGCCACTATAAAGATTCATCACAATAAACAAACATACCGAAAAGATTCTCCGTTTTATTGCTTATCAAATGGTAGCGGCGGTTTAATAGTTTTAATTGGTATAATCGCACCATAAAACAGATGCTCGGGTAATAGGGTTGGCACTCGCTAGTTTATAGTATTCATTGCTGATACTGATGGCATCATTTCTAGTATATGCCTCTTTCGATACTAATATATTTTAAATAATAAAAGCAAGAATCTATAAAAAAACTAATTTTATATTAAATGCTTGTAAATGATTCACAAGCATAAATTTCAACTCTCAACATATTTACATATAAAAAGGTTACTTAAATTTTAAAAATTCTGTCGGCGTCAGTGGTAAAATAGTGCATTATACTATTTTTTAAACAATTGTGCACAGCAAGAGTGTAGAAGAGACATGCTATGGTGTTAGAAAATATTTTTTTTTCAGTGAGTTCTTAAATATCCATGACTAATTGTAACCAGAATAAAATAAAATAAAATGTAGTGACAACCCTACAAGCCAGTCAACCAATGAAGTATTTTCATGCACTCGCCCACTAATGATGGCCGCCAAAGCGTTGAGAGCGTTTCGTTCTTTCGACATTAATGTTCATTAGCATTCCACAGCTACTGAATAATTCGACCGGTACCCTTTATTAATACATCGACAAATTAACGTGAATGTAAAAACCGAATAGGCCCATAAAAACACGTGTCGTTTTTTTATCTATGCCCTTGCGTTTCTTTTTATTTTAATTCGAAGTGATAATTGAGATTATGACCGGACAGCTGGCGCGCGAATTAGGAATTTTAAAATGGCGTACGCATACCAAGACATGAAGAATTCACTCGAAAAACACTTTTTGAATATGGAATGGTTTTTTTTATACAAAAACAAAAGTAATATTCCTAATTATGATCGAAAAACACTTTTTGAATATGGAATGGTTTTATTTATACAAAAACAAAAGTAATATTCCTAATTATGATAACGAAATGAACATTTATAAATTACAGAGACTTGCAAATGACTCCAGAATCATATAAATAATCGCGTCGTTGCGCAGTACCTAAAAGTTTTACATATGAAAACATATTTTGAATGCGCAAACTTCAATGTTTATGATTTTGTTCGAACGATTTCCCGGGAACATTATAATACAGTATTATAATATTTTTTTCTACTGCATGATTGTCCACTTTCGAAAGGCAAGTTATCACTATTTCGAACAACCCCTTTGTCTATGCTCCTCACATAGTTGTCGCGTGATTGTTGCAAATTAGCGACAAGTTATAAAGTGTTCGTGATGGAAATTATTGTATATCTAATTGAAGTATCATACCTATGAGTCGTATTCACTTAGCGAGTCAACACCAAAGACCTATAAAGCTGTAAATAGCTGTCGCATTCGTTTATAATAAAAAAATCTTTTTTTTTATATAACGTAATGCTTTATTTTTATTTATCAACCAGCGACCCGGCATCGCACGGATGGATTACAAACCTTTGAATTTCTACGCTTGTTCTATACTATAATACGCATGTACTGTATATATAAACCTTCCTCTTGAATCTGTCTATATATTGCTGAAAAATGTATTAAAATCCGTTGCGTAATTTAAAAGATATAAGCTAAAAGACTTTGTTCTTTACTATGTAAAGATATGGAATTTTGTACCCGCCTGTGCTAATGGTACACACTAGCGGAAGTGGATACCAATGGATAACCATAGATTGACCATGTGATGAGGGAATGACTTAAAATCAGAATATGTACTGTGAGGTCTATTATTGTTTCTGTTAATTTAGTACAGTATATGTACTGCCGACACGTAGTTTAAAAGGATTTTTTTAGTAAACAGTGTACGCTTATTTTTTAAATTGACGACCTTGATAGTCTAGCTATTTAGCACACTGCTGTAATCCATCCTATGGTTGCGGGTTCGATTCCTGGCATGACAAACATTTATATTCATAAGTACAATCGTTTGTATCACTCTGGGTGTTTTCTATGTACAATATGTATGTATTTACAAAAATATATATATATTTGTATGGGTTATCTAGTACCCATAACGCAAGCTTTAGTTAGCTTAACTTGGATCTAGATGGCGCTGTGTGAATTGTGAAAAAAGAAAAGTACGTAAGTAAACAGTGTACGCTTTGGAATGTATGTTTATGTGGTTTTTTTTTTCTAAATATTATTATTATTATGTCGGTTTATGTTTTGTAACAAGATGTAAGTACTGATCATGTCATATAAGTCATTCGATGGTCATATTACGAAAATGTTTTGCTGCCTCACTATAATTGAGTTGAGGCCGAGCATTCGGGTCGTGATGTGGGCGGTTGTGTAGAAACTAATGTTCTTTCAGGATATGCTAATGAGCTGATGACAAATTTTCAGTTGTACTAAAATGACTGCGTAGGATGATTATAAATAGTGTATAGGCATGGTATGTTGTAACTGAAATACCCACTTGTATGTTGAAAAATGATACATCGACTGTTTTTTTTTTAAACTATTTGTTTACAAGACAAACGTCATTTGGCCATACGAATTAATATATTAAATTATAAATATTGAGCTTAAGAATAGTGGTTGATGGTTAGGAGTATGAAAGTTAAGAGTTGTATTAATTTACAATGCTGGATTATTAATTAAATTATACAATAAAAATGTTTTGCCTAAAAAATAAAAATAAGTTTTTGGAGTAGGCCACCCTTATCTTTTAGGGGTAGGATTTTTTTAATAATAATATATCAGATGGGCCGTAATCTTTATAATATAAAAAACAACATACTTTCTAATTATTTACATTATTATGTTTAATTATTAAGATATACGCTGTTTAAAGTCGTATCAATATTATAAACGCTAAAGTTCGTGAATATGGATGGATGTTTGTTACTCTGAGGCAATAACTACTGAACGGATATTGATGAAACTATACAGTAATATACCATACATTAAAGAATAACACATGGACTATAATTTAAAAATATGTTATGTAAATTGAGTAATTGATAAATGTCCAGTAAGTGAGATGCAGGCATTGTTGCGGGGATCAGTATATATATATTTATTTATGTATATTCTAAAAAAATATCATAATATTATTTGCGCCGCCAAAAACTTATCTCTGCACAACTCATGGTTGCCTGGTAGAAAATGCCATTAGGTGTTAAGTCGGCCATATGTACTCTTTACTTATATATGACGTGCATTAAAGTTATTTAAATAAATAAGAAAAATATATAGTGTTTAATAAGTGATAAATACCTTTATTGTTGATTCTGGCAGTTGTAACTGAGCGGCCAGTTCGCACCGTCTCGGACGGGAGACGTAGTTCTCCTTCATGAACTCCTTCTCAAGCCTCGCCAGCTGTTCTCGAGTGAACGCCGTGCGATATCTCCTGTGGACATTTTTTTTATTAGACTCTATGTATTATTAACCAGGCCATTGTAATGCCTATTATAAGGTATATAGGACAACATATATAGGAGATCGGTCAGCTCATTGATTCATTATTTGAAAAATTCGTTATGATTTTATGCATTCTTAGACCTCAAAAGCTAAATAAAAGTTTTAATAATAAATACAAATAAGAAAAGAAATATTATTAAATTGAAAATATAAAATCAATTTAAAAAAGAAAGAATTACAATTCGTAACTTATTTTAATAGTTACCTTATATTGGGGTCAGGAGCGGATCCATTATTTGTCATTTGTTCCGACTGCGGACTAAGGGATTCTGCCAACAAAAAAAAACAAATTAATATTAATTGTTTATGGTAGGCAGTAACTGAAAACAATGACTGTATATACTGAGACCTTTTGCCTTTACCAGTAAAAGGAACACGGAACCTATAAAATTGTTTATGGTACAATACTTATTATGTTGCATTATACTTAACAACCATGCTAAAAATAAGTAAGTACCCGTTAAATAAATATAAGAAATAATTATTCTATTCCAAAAATATGGGTCAACGAACTTTTATGATTAAATAAATAAAACATGGCGTCGTTAATGATTCTTAATCTATGCTTCGTCCTTTTAAATTATGTGTAATTAAATTATAGAGTGTAACAAAGTTAAAATTCTAATTTATATTACACATAGATAAATATAGATCTATAACACGATAATAACATACATTTTCCATTATTTGATATTATTTCTCATAAAAACTAAACTATACCAAGAATAAAATACTTTTTTATGTAATGTTTTTCAACGGCAAAAGTATTAATGATATACAGCCTAAGAAATTTTTTTAGTAGTCAAGTCCTGGCATGAATGTAAATATATTATATGGCATATTAAAAATAGATTAAAACACGTTTCTGAGGACCGATTATCACTTATCTTTACATAAAAGCATTGCTTAAAGGGTTGTAAGTATAGGTACTTGAGGCGGCGTTGCTTTTCAATTTAACTCGTATTATCTTAATTACTGTTGTCTAGACATTAGCTACTTAAAACACTCAATATCATAATACTGTATTTTTCAGCCGACTTTAAAAAGAAAGCTCTCAAACAATAGCATTGTTTTTTTTTTCTTCAAAAATAATTTAATTTTTATATGCATTCTAATATATTATTATTAACTTTATACAATAATTTCATAATCGTCTTTTTCCAGTACACTATCGCTCATGCGATATGGAGATATAAACAAGAAGGATGACATAGAATCTCATTTGATGCTATTTTAAGCAACTTCAGGCTTCTTTTTAATTTTAGAAACACAATATATTTTTTCAATACAAACTATCAAACTGTATTAATAATACTTCTCCCAATAATGTTATCACAGTTACACCTCTCCCAGATGGAATCCAATCACTTCCCTCCATCCTTAGGTTGTCTGGAGAAGATCGCTTTTTAGTGATAAGGCCGCCCTTTGTTACCTCTTTGTCTTGTTTATTATTGTTTTAAACATGTATGTAATTGTACTCGTATTTTCTTTGAGAGGAACAATTATTCCATTAAGATCAACAAATCGTCTCAATTCACATGAAATACAATAGTTACTTAAGTAATAAAATAAATCAGTACAAAGCAGACCAGTCGCTACAAGCAGCGGTCGTTCACGAGTATAACGGGATGAGTCAGCCATCTTTAAAATATAAGCCGTAAGCGTAATCTTCGCCATTTTTATTATTCGTGGATTGGATTCCTCTTGTATCTCACATATGTATGTAGGTATATGCAGATTGTAATATCTTTATCTTTATATATAATATAGATTTCTATGTATTATCAGATATTTTCGAAAAATAGACATTTAAATAATAAAATTTTATAGTAATTAATATATCTGCTTGTAAAACTTCATTGTATATTCACAAAAGTCAATTCAATCGGTTTTTAAACGACTAATTATTTCATGAATCCAAGATTGAGTTGTCATAAAAAGAAAAAATCGAAAGGCACCGTTCGGGAACCAGTAGTCGGTAGGTGCTAATTGTACGCACCCAGCGTTTCAAAAGGAATACATTAACACAAGACAAACACAAATAAGCTATTGTCTAATTAAATATTTTCCCATGCTGTGTGTGTATGTGTTTTTTATCTGTATTTTCATTATAACCCTGGCCACAAAGAATACCGAACTCAGTAAATCGCCGCTCAATTTGAAAAAAGAGCGGCAACACCAAAACGGCCGACTTTACAAATCTGATTAGTCGCTGAAGTGGTTCTAAATTTAAAAAGGGACTGTATTGACACTGACAGTTAAAAAGTGTACTGAACACTTTCAAGTCACGTCCATTGTCTATGGTCTTAATGGCGGCGTGATTAAGACATTCGATACTAATTTCCCTCTCGGAGTAACTTGTTACGAATGTGATGTTAATTTTTGACTAATGTAAGTACAAACTATGAACGCGAATCATACGTACGATAAATGATCACTCCATAAAGAGTCATACATGATAATTTACCGCTAATAAAATTATTGTTTTTAAGGATACTTATGTAGTACACGTATTAAGGACATGATGTTATACTTATTTATAAATAACTTTGAAGCTAAACCTATATGAGTATAAATGAGCATTAGATTGAGACCAAGATATACCTGATGAGTATTTAATATTTACATATTTAGATCACTCTTGTCTATAAACTATGCTGTTTACTTAGGTACTAGTTTCGTCTTTGCTCGGATGACTATAATATTTGATTATCTACTTATATACTATCAGTATATTGATCTATTTAAGTAAAATTAATAATATTCTCAGGCCAATTCACACAGCTGCATCTAGATCCAAGTTAAGCTACCTAAAGCTTGTGTTATGGATACTAGACAACTAATACAAATACATAGATTTTTTTTTTTGTAAACACCCAAACCGTGTACCGGTTGGGTTGGGTGTAACAACCAAACTCGAGAATGTTTGTGCCGTGCGAGACCTCGAACCCGTGACTATCGGAAGTAAGGCCGTGTGCCAAACTGCTAGACCACCGAGGCCGTCAAAAATGTTGAAACTGAATAAGTTACTTGGATACTACTTTAGTATAAAACCTTTTGAAATTAAAAAGAATATTATGCACACAAAAAATAAAGGAGCATTTGTCATTTATTAAAGAGTCCATAAAACCTCATTGCACATTTGGCTGCATCAGGATGAAATGTTAACTTTTTTTTTAAAACGATTAATGTCGTCGCGTCTGTACCACTTGAGATCATGATTCGTTCCCATGCTGGGTGGCGACGGAACACTTAGAAATCAATTTGCAATAGTCTAGTCTGTCTTCCTTTCATCCTACATAGTTAAACATTTTATTTATCCAAGTTTTTGCTTAATTTTTTCATACTTCAAAAAGTCTCCAGCTGCTTATGGCGTGTGCTATTCAAAAAGGAAGCAAAAGCTTCCGTCATTGAGCGTTTTAAGTGTAACCGGTAGTATGATAACAACATTTATATTTTTGTCTATGCCTATTAAAATATATTAAAAAAAGTTGGTTACATAGATTCATATACAAATTATTTGGTTCTAAGTGACGCGCATCTCGGTTCCGTGTGAAACGGCTTCCGTAGTTCCACTTTTGAAATTCGTATTGGCGCCTTAGTCAAATGCATCTTTTTTATCGACTACCAGTAACATATTTTTTATATCTTTTAAGCAGAAGTGCTGTTTAAGAAGATGAGTTGTTGATGCACTATTTTCAATATTGATTATTACGATACCTACTTGATTATAGAGTTTAAAAAAACTTGTTATTTAGTATTTAAAATATTTAAAAAGTAATTAAAACATAGCTTTAATACTGACAATAAAGCTGTTTTGCTTTGACCCCTTTACTTTACCCGAAGACTTCCCAGAAGAACAGCTACAAAAAAAAACAAAAATAAAGCGATTTTAAGTTTCTTTTCACAATTAGTTATACAATATAACATGAATTCCATATTCAAAATTCATAAGATTTGATAAATTTGTTAACCATATCTATATATTATACATAGTGTTTATTTATTTAAAACAACTGATTTTGTATATATAATTCTACGTATGCGAGTAGGTACCTACTTTATAAATTTGAACGGACGAATTCACAGGCCGGTTACTTATTATGACAACATTATGTACAAATGTCGTGTAGTGTCGTTTTAGAGTCAATTTCGTAAGATTTGCCGATGTCTTTGTTTCACTGCGTGTTAATAAACTAGACAAATAACGAGGCGGCGTCATAATGCGTAAGGTCACATCGCATATCGAGTTTGTTCTATAAGTTTACTGTTATAATGAGTTTTAAGAAATATAAATGTATGAGGTAATTGTCTATGCTTTAAAATATTGTTTATATTTAGAAGCACATTCGTTTTTTTTTTTGTATTTATATTTTTTTTGTATCAGGTAAAAGTATGATTGTAAGTTCATTAATTTAGATATATATTTTTTAATAATTTATAGTATACGCAGGTTGTACTTCTCTTAATGTTTCGACCATGTTACATTACCGTGGTCACAAGCTGACTGGAGTAATTCTAAAAATTTACAAAATTCCAATAGAATAATATAATCGTAGAATAGAAGATCAGATAAACTTAATTTAAGTACTTTTGAATAGTCATCACAATTTTTTAAATCAGATCAGATCTCATTCGGAAAGCTATCTGGTCACATATAAAAATAATAGAAATAATAGCATTCCTACCTCAATTAATAGATACGGTAAACTGCAGTGCGCCTAATTAATCGTTGTTGAACATTTACAGCGTGCCAAATAGTCGGTAACCGATCGCCATACATTACCATTGATTATCGAGAATTGCTACCCCCGTGGCACGCGCCGGTAATTGTATTATCGTGTGTGGACCCCTTAATACTATTATATATGACCGTGCAATACTGGCTTAATATTATTGTCTATGACACGATTAACGGCAATCGTTTCGTTGATTTGAAATTAGAACGCTAGTAGTTTTATCGTTCTGTGTAACAACCTAGTATATTAATATCTAACTTTTTAAGGTTTTTCGTAAATAAGGAGTTGTAGGTATATTATTCCTTTACTTAATATTAAATGTTTTACACTTAATATTAAGTAAAGAAATAATGTGTAAAAGCGTGTAACTGTGTGTAAAATAATGTAATACAGATAAATTTATAGAGTTAAGTAGAGTGCTATGATATACATATTTAGTAACCATAGAGTAAATATCTCAATTCAAAGAATGATATTCAAACGTTTTATACCTTTTTAAATTATCTATTTAGTATCTACATGCGTTAGTA